CCTTGTCACCCACCATCTTCGTCCTGCACTTGTTCAGGATCTGATACAGGCTTCCATTTTCCACCCAACGCTGCTCTCCTCGTTCGGGCGGGAAGAGGTTGATGGCCTCGGCGGCGCTGCTGTCCAGGCGCATAAATTGATCCAAGGACCCTAAGGAGAGATGGATGGACACCTCCTCTGTAGGGAGCGGAAGGCGAAGGGGAGGGACGGGACACGGGGTGGCGAAATCGAATGAACAACGAATGATCTCATGAATTATTCTTCTTGTTCCCCATGCTTTTTGGTCACCCCCCGCGTCCTTCCTTTCCACCCGCCCCCGGTGCCCTCCATCGCACCGTCTCGGAGGTCCAACGCGGTGACAAGGGCGTGCACACAGGCCATGGCCTGTGTGTAATCCAGCTCTTTTTTATACTGCAACAAATCGCGGCTCTGGGGGGTGAGGAGGCGAGGGAGGAGGTTGGATTCGAAGTCCTCCGGAGGGGGGCGGAAGGCACTACCCTTTTGGGGTAGAGGAGACGCATCGATGCCCTAAAGGGAGGAAGGGAAGGCCGCGTATGTGAGCAGTAGAGAGGGGAGGGCGGTAGATCGGCGGGTGGACCGAGCCAATAATGAGCGGAGGGCCCGGGCATGTGGAACGGATCGGGACGAGACCCCGAGACCGGCGGGGGAGACGCTCGGATGGCGCCCCCCCAGACCAAGCACCACGGATTACAAGGGTAGAATCCAGTCCTCTTGGCTACAGAATTGTGCCGGGCGCAGGTGGCCATCTTCCATATTCCCCTCTTCCCTCCCTCCCTCCTTCCCTCACCTGCCGCTCCAAGATGTGTTGTAGCTTGCGCTGATCCCCCTTTTCTGCCTTGGAACCCCCCGTCTCTTTTTTTTTAGAGGAAGGTTCGCACGGAAAGTAAGCATGTGCTGGACCAGTCTGTACCAGCATGCTGTCCAAGCAGCTGAGCTGAAGGGGAAAGGGGGGGAGAGGGATGTAAGAGCCCAGGAGAGAATACCCAGCAGGTGGCTACGCAAGGCCTGCTGTACGTTTCCCCCACCGGGAAATGAGTGCTCTATTCCCGAGCCCTAAATTGACCGGAATACCCTTCTCTTCACCTCATCCATTTCCTTTCTGTCTACGCCCTGACCTGGTCATTCTCGGGAACCTGAAAGATCGTCAAATGCCACCGCGTGGACGTCTGCTTCGCCCTTCCTCCTTCTCCCTCTGCTTCGTTGGACTCCTCCCTGCCATGAAAAGGAGCGAGCACTGCGGCAGACGTGGCCCGGTCGAGGCCTTGGCGCGTCACCTGAAGGCAAGGAAAAGGCGGGAGAGGAGGCCGCTTGGAAGGAAGACAAAAGGACAGAAGCAAGGACACAAGCCACGCACCTGCAGAGCGACGCAAGGCGCCAAGAGCATGCCTTCCTCCTCGTCGCGTGCCATGGGCAAATTGATTTCCTGTCGAATATTGCCTGTGTTATTTTAGCTCACGGGAAGCGGAGGGAGCAATACACTGGACTTGAAGGTACCTCAGCGATGAAGAAAAAGCGCGGCCGGCTGGCTGTAGGGACTTACTTTTATACGAAAGAAATGCCCTTTACATGTCCACTACAAACTGTATCGCGCGTCGAAAATATTGCAGACAAAACTTCCTTGGGAGGAAGGAGTTTGCCCTCGTACAACATGACAAATGGCATTTTAGGTCGACAAATCGAAGCCGAGCTGCAGCAAGCACTCAAAGGACTCGACCAATTCTGTTTTCGCAAGGCGTGGCAAAGCTCTTCCAAATCCATAGAGCTTTCACTACACCCATGTTTATGACACGCCTTTGGAGCCGCGCATGACGGGAGCTAGTTCGCAAAGTGCATTGAAATTCATCAAGCGGGGCGCAAATGCCTCATGGACCATCGCCAAGGGCCGCCCATGTCCTCCATGGGGGGGAAGAAAATTCTTTTATGCTTTCCTTCTATTTTAGTTAAACAATATAGCTACCGATAGCTGATTTTTGTGCTTTCACGTGATTTTGCAGGGCATACGCAGTGGTTCATTTTACGACAGCAGCGGGTCGTCATGTCGCAGTCTTTGTTCAACAAACTCCAATCTGGTCTCAATTACCTGGATGGGGCTTTCAAGGAGACCATGGAGGGCGAAGAGGAGGCGACCGAGGAGATGCTGCTAGAGCAGCGACGACAGGTATCGTAGGAAAAGATCATGAAGAGGGGCACGTTAGAGGTGCCAGTAAGCCCTGAGGCGTCAAGACGCACCGGTACTCGAGCGTGCTCCCCGCTGTCTGGGCGGGACATGGTTAAATGCGAGAGCAGCAAGGGGTCATGGGCCGTTGATTTGCCTCCCCTGTCCAGCGAGCATGCATCCCAAACCCTTTCTTCCTCCCTTTCCTTGCCGCGACCCACCTTCTATCCCCAGCGCCAACTTCGCATGACCGCAGTCCAACAGCAAGCCGCCTTTGGGAGTGCCCTGTACCCCTCGGACTCGGGGACTCAGGAGAGCGGCTTTCCTCCGGGGATGGTGGCGCGGGAAGAAGATGCGGCCACGGGAAAGGGGAATGAGATCCCCGTCAAGGAGGAGAAAGGTCATGAACATTTGGCAGGTACTGCACGGAAGCCCGCCCCGCCAGCACCTTCGAGACGCTCGCCTCCTCCTCCCCACCCCGGCGTCCACATTCGAAGGGAGGGGGGAAGCGCGGAGGAAGAGGTTGCCGAGACCCCTGCCTGCTTGCTGGGCATGTCCTCTCCGTTAGCGGCGGGGCCCCTGGTCCGGGAAAGCGAGGTGTGGAAAGAGGAAGCGGGGGAGTGACGTAGAAAAAGGGGGAGGGGAAGAAAAGGAAGCGTGAGAGCGTGCTCGGACCGCAAGAGATAAGCACCTGTGTCGCACCCTGAGGCCAGCATTCTTTTTCCATTTCCCTCCCAGGTACATCACGCGTCCCTGAAACGCTCCCCGTCCTCGAGTCCTCCGCGCGGGCACGTGCGGGAGGAAGATAATGGACTCCCCAGTTTAGCCCTCGGAAGCAGTGCCTACGATGGTCTCAGCGGAGCTTTGGCAGAGAACGAGGAAGAGGGGGAGGGCAGGTAAGGGGATGGTCGGGAAGTTGCCTCCGTGGGGAGAAGCGCGAGGGACAGGGAGGGAGGGAGGGAGG